AAATATTGTATGAATATCCAAGCAGATGAGAAGACTGTAAACCATGTAAAGAAACCCATAGTCACAATGTTTCAATCCATTTATGAGGTCAGCACAGTGTCTAAATGAGACAAATTATGTCCTTGAAGGCCACAATGAAATGGTGGTATGTATGCACTTATCCCAGGGATTTTGATATGGAGCTGCTACGTTTAGTCCCTTAATCAGTTCAATTAATCCATTCAATTTTTTTCAGTTAACCAAAATGTTCCAACACAATTAATTGGTGAACAGCTGGGTTTTAAAGAAAATGTCAGAGTCATGGCAGGTAAAACACATATGATATGCTTCTCTTTCAGCAGTATTGTTTTATTCATATGTAATAAACTGCAGATCTAGCCAATTAGTGGTAAGTTGACTAAACTGATCCTATACATGTCTCTTCTAACTTAGTCATAGGAAGCTACATCTAGGTTAATATGATAAGCCTGTCAATCCATTTGTAATGTAGCCTTCATTTCGTCTATTTATAAGAGGATCATTTGGATCTCCTGTTTGTAAAGGTCACATAAGTCGCAGACAACCTGACAGCACATGATAACAACAAATGGTAAATTGTGAGCTCATAAAAGTAATCATCTGAATGCATCCTTTAATCAGGAGACTGCATTTTGAGCAAGCCAGCCAGAAGAGTTGGTCATAACTCCTAAATCCCTTTTGACTAGATATATATATAGTCTTCCTGAGTATATTTTCTCATTTCATCCTGAACAGCTTATTTCAAATGGTGTCACCACTTGAATGTTTCTCCTGAATGGTATTATTTTATTATTCTTCCTGAGACAGAATTTTACAAATCTGTTCCAATGATATTTAATTGGAAAGAAAAATTCTGTGAATTTTAACAGGTTATGCAAACATCTAGCATGCAATTCCACACATTTCTTACCTTTAGAGTATGATATTAAGTGATATAGGAATGTAAAACTTCTCTTATTAATTTTCCTTTACAAGACTAAAGAATTTCATACATTTTCTCTATGCAGAAACATAATTTAAGGGAGAAATTATGTGAGAAATGTTTCTTCGCACAAAACAGGGCTTTTAAATTCAAGAGTCACTGATTTCCATGTTGTTCTATGTTTTCTCAAAGGCTTTCATGGCTGGAATCACTGGGTTGTCGTAAGTTTTCGGGCTTTATGGCCATGTTCCAGAAGCATTCTCTCCTGACATTTTGCCTGCATCTTTGGCAGGCATCCTCAGAGGTTGTGAGGTCTGTTGGAAACTAGAAAAATTGAGTTTATATACCTGTGGAATGTTCGGGGTGGGAAAACGAGCTCTTGTCTGTTGGAGGTAGGTTTGAATGTTTCAATTGGCCACCTTGATTATCATTTGTTGGCTTGGCAGGTATCAAGGTGTTTCTTACTACCTGAGGAAATCCTTTGTTGAGAGGTGATTAGTGGTCCGATTGTTTCTTGTCTGGAGTTCCCCTGTTTTTGAGTGTTGTTCTTTATTTACAGTTATGATTTTAGAGTTTTTTTTAAATACTGGTAGCCAGATTTTGTTCATTTTCAGTGTTTCTTCCTTCTGTTGAAATTGTCACCATACTTGTGGATTTCAATGGCTTTTCAATGTTGTCTGACATGTAGTTGTTAGAGTGGTCCAGCATTTCTGTGTTCTCAAATAATATGCTGTGTATAGATTGGTTCATCAGGTGCTCTGCTATGGTTATGTTCCATGTTGCTTAATGTTCAGAATATTGGGTTTCTTTAAAAATACATTTCTGCAGAGTATCATAATGTGAAAACTCTTGGAATGGTTGACATTTTTTTTCCACTGGGATATCCTGATGTGTCAAAAACACCTTTGTCATCAGGGATGACAAAATCTGTGCATTTGATTGTGTAAATGTTTACTCAAATCACAACCAGTCGGAAAATATTTAGATACTCCAAATAATTGTGCTCTGAAGGTTTGGAAAATAAGCCTTGATTTTAACAAAAATAGAGTGAACTTAATCCCAAGAAGGACTATGATCTGATGTGAGATATATGTATTTTGGACAAACTAGAATGAGTGACCATGATTTTCTCATTTTTTATATGTAAGTAGAAATATTTCAAAAACACAGAATGCTCAAAGTTATCTTACTGGAGAAGAGTCTTGGGCTCTGCAAATGACAGACCCACCTCATCTGCCCTCTCCAATTTGTTGAGAGCTTCAACAAGCATGTGTACGATTGTGATTTGGTAGACTCGGATTACTTAGACTTTCCAAATGTTTTTGATAAAGTTCTTTACCCAAGGATTTGGAACAAATTCAGTGGTCATGGGATAACAGAACAGGCTTTCGTATTAAACAAGCAACCAATATTTGGGGCATATTGAACCAGCTGCATCTGGGACTAATTTTTCACACTTCCAAGGAGCAGTAACTGGTTAATGAACAGTATGCAAAGGGATCTTGTAGCACCTAAGAGATTAACTGAGAGAATAAAGTTAGTAACACAAGCTTTTGTAGACGGAGTCTATTTTCTCAGATGGTTAATGAACAGAAAGCAAATAACACAAATAAATTGACTGTTCTCACAAAGCAGGCAAGTAAGAATCGGCACACCCCAAAGATATGAATTAGGACCAGTGTTGACATCAAAACATTTAGAGCGATAAAAACAGTAAGGAATGTTCTGGAGAACAGAAAAAAAATTACATCTCCAAACTGTGTGAATGGAGTTCATAAATACATGTAGAGTGATGTATCTTGAGATACGTGTCCTAAGTTCACATGTACAGATTGTATCTATTGATACATAGATAGACTGATATGTGATGGTTACTGACTAGGAAAAGGATTTGGGAATTGTGCAGAGAACTCAATACATGTCTGTGTTAGCACCAATATTGCATCATGTATAGTCACTGTGTTTGCATCAGTATATTTAAACACTGGCATAATTGTCATAATTGTCATATTCTGTGTTTTTTTTAAAGCAACTATCAAACTAACAACTATTGTTAGTTTCAAATGTCTCCAGAGATGTTAACCTGTTGCAAATTTAAACAGAGGCCAAATTTGCATATCTATTCAATTGATATTTTTATTATCAGCATTTATTGAATCTACACCAAACAATGTTCCAAATCCTTMGGTAAAGAACTTTATCAAAAACATTTGGAAAGTCTAAGTAATCCAGGTCTACCAAATCACGATCGTACACATGCTTGTTGAAGCTCTCAACAAATTGGAAAGGGCAGATGGGGTGGGTCTGTCATTTGCAGAGCCCAAGACTCTTCTCCAGTAAGATAACTTTGAGCATTCTGTGTTTTTGAAATATTTCTACTTACATATAAAAAATGAGAAAATCATGGTCACTCATTCTAGTTTGTCCAAAATACATATATCTCACATCAGATCATAGTCCTTCTTGGGATTAAGTTCACTCTATTTTTGTTAAAATCAAGGCTTATTATAGTTGTCACTCTCAACATAGTTATTTCTACATTTAATTTTAACCTGATCATCTGCCATTCCATACACRCAAGACTATGCACTGTGKATTAGAGCTGTGCAATCGATAAAAAAAATATCGATCGAAACGAACTCCCAGCGAACTCTGCTTTCTCCCTGTTGCTTCCCTCTCCTAATGGGAAGAGGCCATTAATTTAAAGAGGAAAGGCAGCCGTTTTGGCTTTGCTTTACTGATTTTGGGAGACTTCTGAGGTTTACAAAAGGCAAACGATAAAGCACTGGGTAAGTTTGATTTTTAAGTTTTTGGCACAGACCATACTTGCGCGTCAGATATTGCGTCGTAAGTACGAATTTGATATGACTTACAATTAACAAAAAAATTGCACACCCCTGCTGTGTGTATTTGAAGTTCTAGGTATCTGTTCATTAATTCAGTAAACTGGGCCATACTCCATGAAACTTCATATACATTTGTTAGTCATTAAGGTACTAGAGGGCTCTGTTGGTTTTTTCTCTGGAAACTGATTCTGAACTGTCTCTCTAGCACCATCTAGTGCTTTCATTTGCATAAATACATCTATGTGTATAGGTGCCTTCAAACTGCCTGTTGACTTATGATAACCCTGTTGAGACTATCATGCTAATGCCACTTCACTGGAGGGCTATAGTAGCAATGTGATTTGAACCAGACTTGAAATAAGGATGCAGCCGCTGTAAAGCTGATGCAATACAATGACTAAGAAGAGGACCTATAAACCAATTTCAGTCATGTCTCTGCCAGAGATATTTAGCAACTTCTACTGAGTTTCCCCAAACAACAGCAATGTGGGGGAACACCATTTAAATTGAATGGTGGATAGCTCCTGGTGATATGGGCCTTTTGGAAATCCACACTACTACTCAATGTTTCCCCTATTTTTCCCACTTTAAAAATGCTCTACACTTCCCAAGAGATGTGGACCTCAGTAGGCTGTTCTGTCTTAAGAAAAGTATTGATTTAACTAGGAACTAAAAAAGAAATATATAACTGCATTGGTGTGTAGTGTATTTTTGAAAACCTCCCTCGAAAAATTCTTGGAGGTATAAGGGGACCCTGCAGATCTCAAAAACAGCCCAACCCTCAATATAAATAATATAAATAAATAATAAATAATAATACAATTTCTGTCTCCAAAATTAAGTGACTAGTTTAAAAACTGACAGTTATTTCCATGTTAGTGAGTTCAAAATTGTAGTCTTGGGATCTTTGCTTTTTCTCAGCATTTTTTGGGAGTTTGTGCATGGCATGTGTCTAAAATAACATTCTTCAACTTATTTTCCGCAAGATATTTTCCCATCCAGCAGTATGGATATTCTCAGTGGAGATTCTTATAGTCCAATAGATCCCAAGGGCACCAAGTTGGGAAAGCCTGCGTTTAAAAAGCAATTTCATTTGGTGGTTCAGAATCTGACATATCTGTCTGACTGAGAGCAGCCAAGGGGGTTTTTCAACGAAATATCTGCTAACTTTTAATAAGTAATATTTTAACATTGACACTGTGTTTTGTTTGCAGGAAAATTTCATAAAACCAAATTGCAACTGTTGACAGAAGAACCATGTCTGGTCGAAGGGCAGGTAAAATCAGCAAACAATTTCAAATGAAAACAAATGGAAGTCAACTGGGAACCAAAACATTCAGTACTAGGAAGGGATTAATATTTCTACCACTTCTATGTTTGTGTGTGTGTATATAGAGGAGATTTTTTTGTCCTGTGAAAGGAAGATACCCAATTGGCTACATTTTGTTTGTTTGCTTTTTCTGCTACTAGTTCATAGGTGCTCCTCAAGAACAAAGTTTTAATAATTCAAGAAATAGATAGTACAGAATCACAACATGACCCCAAAGGGTGTCCAGTTCTACAGTTTAGTCTTTCCTCCATTGCATGGATGCACTTGCCTTCCAAATACTGTAAGCATGGACAAATTGAAACCTCACATCTTTTTAGCTCTGTTTTTAACTTATGCGATTTTAGACTGAAGTTTGATTTAATTCTTTTTTCAACTCTCCTATAACATAGTCAGATTTTTGTGTCAACGCAAGTCTTGTTGAATTCTTTGTGTGGCTGGTTAGGACATTCTCAGGCCCCCTCCACATAGCCATATAACACAGAATATCAAGGCAGATAACCCACAATTTCTGCCTTGAACTGGGTTATCTGAGTCAACACTGCCATATAATCCAGTTTAATGTGGATTTTATACAGCTGTGTGAGAGGAGCCTCCATTAAAGTGTTTGTTTCTCTGCAAACTTTAGACTTGTTCCATTTAATTTAAAAACTAGATCACTGATTTAAATATTAAAGAATTTTAATTTAAAAATATAAGAAATTATGCTTGATCCTACCACCTTCCCTCATGCTCCTTAGAATTTTTTGGAGTACACTTTTGGCTTTGTGGCTCCAAAGGTCTAGATACTTACTGTTGCTCCTTTTGAAAAGTGCCCTTCCTACTGCTATAGGAATTTCTATGATATAATGGAATGTTAATGAATATTCCCAATTTAATCTCATTGTTGCAACTACAATAAGCTGCTGGGCCCAATTCAAAGTGCAGGTTATTACCTAAATGGTTTGGGCCCCGCCTACCTCCGCAATCGCATCTCCCCCTATAAGTCAGCACAGACTCTTAGATCTTCCAGGGAGGCCTGTATCTTGCTCCCACCATCGTTTCAAGTGCGATTGGTGGGGACGAGGGAGAGGGCCTTCTCAGTGGTGCCCCCCTGCCTCTGCAATGTCCTCCCCACAGAGATAAGACAAGCCTCACCACTTGCGTCCTTCCGTAAGGACTTGAAAACCTGGTGGTTCCAACAGGCTTTTGGAAATCATTAACCCCAGGCTATTAGGTCCCTGCTCTGTACTCTATACACACACCCAGCCCTTTGCTATTTAGCCCTGGTCTAGCCCTCTTTTACCTATTCAATAGCCCTTGGAAACGAAGAGCCCCAGGCACCACCCTGGCCATTAGTTAGGGCCTTGTCATGCACTTTATCCACTTCCCCGGGCCTATGTTTTCTCGGTTAGCCCAGCCCTCTTGTGGTTATGAAGTGCACCTTAAAAATAATAGCTCCAGGCCCCACCCTGACCATCAGGTAGGCCATACTTGCACTTTACACCCATTCCCCAGCCCTACTCCATCATGTCAACCCAGCCCTCTCATAGTGGTTGAGGCCCACTTTGGAATCTTAGCCGTTATAAGCTGAGCTGCCTAATGTAATGAGTATCAGATTGGTTGTAATTTAAATATGTGTGATTGTTATATATTACTATATTTATATGTTTATAATGTTTTTTGTATGTTCTTATGTTGGTAAGTGCAATGCTTATCCTGAGTCCCCTTGGGGAGATAGAGCGGTATACAAATAAAGATTTATTATTATTACTGTGGACCCTTTGCATCTACTAGGCTTTGGTTCCAGGTACCCCATCCCCCATGTATACCGAAATCCATGCATGCTCAAGGCATAGTAAAATAGTATCCCTTAAAGAAAACAGAAAAATTCAGGTTTGCATTTTGGATTTTTTTTTTTTGGGGGGGGGAGGGGTATTTTAAAGCCATTGATGGTTGAATCCATGTATTTGGAATCTATGTATTCAGATGGAGGACCAACTGTACTTGTTCCTTAAGTAAACACCTGTTTCAGCTTAAGAAAATCTTCACACTAGGCTTATGGGGAAAGTGGGAGAAGAAAGATGGATCACAAGGCACAGATGATGAGAAACACCATGTCCAGGAAGCTAAAGACACAGCTAGATTTGATTTCATTTCACTGAAACAAAATAACAGCAAAAACTTGGTGACAGGAGAGATCATACACTATGTGAACCATGCATATTTTCTAGAGACCTACACCCATATTTTGACCAATTAACTACATATTATAATAACAGATCTGTACCACAATATTGAACAATTCTGCATATGGTATTTTGGTGGAATTTAAGGCTAACATTTTATAGGCATTTGGGCCCTCTAAAATCTAACAGTCTTGTGGAAATTACTTGTATTGTAATTTCAGATTTAGTTAAAATATGTTGTTTCCTGGTCATTTTTCTTATTCTTCTCCTCTTCTTCTCCCTCTTCCTCCTTCTCCTCTTGCTTTTCAGTGAAAACAAAGAAATCTGCTGTTCCTGGAGTGACCATCGCACAATTTGTGGAAGATATTCCCAAAGGGTACACCACCCCTGACTTTGAGAGGAAGCCAATTACTTTAACATTATCAGAAGGTGAATCATCTCTAACACCCTCATTGTCTTTATTCTTTGTTTCCAGTCATGATGTGGTAGTCAAGAGAATAAAAGTTTATTACACCTATTCATTTTTCAATACCATTTATAGAATCCTCAAGCCAAAGACTCTTATTACATACAAATAAAAATATCCCATCGGCCATGAGGAAACGCTAGTTACACAACCTGGCCAAATTTCATCTTTCTCCCCAATTATAGCCTTGCCTTTACTATGTACTTGCTCTCCCCGGTACTTTAGGGAGCTGTGGGAAGATCATCACGAGAGTTGGGACATTATCACCAGGGCTCATAACACAAGCTGCAGCCTCCCCAACCATGAATATAACCATTTATCATTGTACAAAATAATTCTATGCTCATTCCAAACTAGTCTGCAACTCATCTGCAGCCTAACTAGCACTTTTAAAAAAAAAATGTGGAACTCTTTTTTAAGGGAACTGAAAGAGCTTTGAACTTGTGTCCAAAGAAATTGAATATTTCCTTTTTATTCTTATTCAAAGTGTTTAAAGGGACTGTGTTTGTGAACTTGCAGAGGTAATTAATTGCAAAGCCCAGTATTATAAGATTTTGAACTGTTGGAGTTGTGCAATTACTCCAAAGAAAAAAATAATAAAAACATGGCATGGATGAACAGGCATGGTATGCTTTTGAAGGAAATAAGTTCTAGAAGATGTGTTCAGATAAATGTGCTTGTTAGTTTCCTCAAGTGCTTGAAGAATGATTGCAGTGATAAGTGGCTATCCTGGCATACTCCAACTGAAATCTGAGGTGGATTTGCAATGTCAGAACTATGTTAAAGCCTCGTGTGATAATGTTCTTTGTAGCAAAAGCATGAATCACTGTTATTTGTCTTGCATTTTGTTGCACAACTTTCTCAAATGCTGCACTTTGAAGATTGTTTTTTTTATCATTAATATGCAGAGTGGAATTCAGAAGACATTTCACCAGTTCAAGAGGGGAATTCTCTTATTGCCATTGTTTTATTATAGATTTTTTCATCCTACTGAAAAAAATCATATTTATTTCTCTTGCAAGGTAAAAATGCAATTTTCAGAGCTGTGGTCAAGGGTGAACCAAAACCAGAGATGTTGTGGAAACGGAGTACTGGGAAAATGGATGATCCTGATAGATACCAGACAACATTCATCCCTGGGACAAATGAGTTTACCCTTCAGGTGAGGATTAAGTACAACACAGCTATGACTATAGATCCACTATTGAATATCCAGTAGGGTAACATTCAGTAAAGGTTTGGGAACTTTTATTCAGAGATCTTTTAAATCTTGCTCAGGTGGCATTTGTTTCTTTTGTGTTGGAAGAATAAACATGTAAGAAAAGTTATGAGTTATTGGAAACAGTCCATAAATGTTCAGGGGGGCAATTTGAGGAGCATGGAGCAGTGAGTGAGAAAGATGATGACAAGATAAGGAAGAGGAAACTCTTGGTTGGAGGGAGCTAAGTTGTGTAGGCTTTGAATATTAAAACAGGAGACTTTTATTGCGTCCTAGAAGTGATGGCAACCAATAAAGAGCTATCAAAAGTAGAGTAACATGATCTGAATGGACCAAAAAGATAATGTTCATAGCATAATGTTGAATGAAAACCTGAAGACTAAGGTAATATAATGGAAGATCAGTAAAAAAATATTACGATAACCAAGACAGGAAATTAACAAGGTATTAATAAGGTCTTAGTAAAACAAGTGTAAAGAAAAGGTCTGATATTGGTAATGTTATAAAGAAAAATTGGCATGACTTTTCTACAGCTTCAGTTTATATCCCACCGTTCCCCCTATACTGGAACTCAAAGCGAAATAAAAAGATTAAAACAAAATACATACATACATACATACTAACACACATACACAGTTCAGTAAAACACATAAAGCTGTTTTAAAGCACAAATAAACAAGCTATAGAATTAAATTTTGCAATATATTAAAATGCAGAAGATAATCAACAGAAAAGAACACCTTCAAAGGCTTGATCATTATACAAAACATTAGAGCAATTCTAGAGAGATCAGTGTCTCACCCTTGTACATAAGGAGGGGGAGACTGAAAAGCATAGCATATTCTGTCTGTTCATGCCACAATAATAGTTTCAATTTCACCTATCCCTATGTTATTATTTTATTTTAAAAGATAAACAAAATCACGCAAGATGATGCTGATGTGTACCGTTTTACGGCTGTGAATGATTATGGGGAAGCCACATGTTCTGCTGGGCTCAAGATCATACAGGGTAAGTTAGATCAATTCAGCACAATGCTAAGAGGCAAAGCAATACCTTTTCAGCACATCTTGCTTTGGATACAATCTTTAGCACATTACAAGGCAGCACAGTGAAAATGACCAGAGTGAAAGAATGGCTAAAGTTATCCTTTTAAATCATTTACATGGAATTGGAAAGATTTGTTTTATCTTGGTCAGACAACCTTGTAGTATCTTGTTCATTTAAGGAACAGACTCTAGCTCAGCATTAGATTCAGTGGCAGTTGATGGTTTCCCTATCAGCAGGGCCAGGAAAACACTCTACATTTTATTTTGAGGATAACTGTCTTGTCTGAGACAGAACAGCTTAGGAAAGTGCAGACATGAAGAAAGTAAGCCAGTCCAGGTCATATACAATAGCTCAGTGAGCCAGTAGTGTGGTCAGACACCTTCTATACTGTCATATAATCCAGATTATCAAATCAGATAATCCTCATTGTCTGCTTTGAAGTGGATTATTTGAGGGCCTTCCAGACCTACCCTATATCTAAGGATCTGATTTGAGGCTTTCTGTTTATCCCAGATTATCTTGCAGTGCGGACTCATATAATCCAATTCAACGCAGAAAACCTGGCATCAGATCCTGGGATATAGGGCCTGTCTGGAAAGGCCCTGAGTCTACACTGTCATATAATCAAATTCAAAGCAGATAACTGGTTTTTATAAAGCAGTGTAGAAGGGGCCTCAGTGCAGTCCAGGGTCTGAGTCCAAACATGTCTGTATTGTTGAAGGCTTTCTTGGCCGGAATCACTGGGTTGTTGTAGGTTTTTTCAAACTGTATGGCCATGTTCTAGAAGCATTCTCTCCTGACATTTTGCCTGCATCTATGGCAGGCATCCTCAGAGGTTGTGACCTCACAACCTCTGATGCCTGCCATAGATGCAGGCGAAACGTCAGGAGAGAATGCTTCTAGAACATGGCCATACAGCCTGAAAAACCTATAACCCATGTCTGTAAAAATTGTTTTCTTGGTGTCTAATGTCCCATTCTTAATTGTTTAAAAGGTGTCTATTATTAAAAATACAGATTATACTTTAGAAAATCTTCAGTATGCCTAATAGAAAGTGAAACATATATACTTACCTCAACCGAAGTCAGCATGAACATGAACTATACTCTTAATCGTTTCAAATTCTATAGGGATTGAGTACACTTAACTTCAAAATTGTAGCAACTGTTAGTGCTTATGGAGGGCATACC